TTCTCAGGAACTCCGTAGTGTCGAAGAAGTTTCCATAATGTCCTCCTATTTACACTATCAAATGCCTTTTCATAATCAATGATGTTGATGTACAGTGACGAGTTCCACTCAACTGATTGTTCGACGATGATCCGTAGTGTCGCAATTTGGTCTATGCACGATCGATCCTTACGGAATCCAGCTTGTTGATCTCGAAGTTGGGCGTCTACTGCATCCTTCATCCTGTTCAGCAACACTCTGTTGAAGACCTTCCCTGGTATTGACAGTAGTGTAATGCCTCTGTAGTTTTCACATTTGCTCAGATCTCCTTTCTTTGGAATCTTGACGAGGTGCCCTTCTTTCCAGTCCATCGGCACTTGTTCCTCCTCCCAAATCTTTTTGAATAGAAGGTGAAGCATGTTTGTAGTTACTTCGATGTCTGACTTCAGTGCTTCAGCTGGTATGTTGTCGGGTCCCGCTGCTTTCCCGTTCTTGGTTTGTCTGACGGCCATTCTGATTTCTTCCTTCGTTGGTGGGTTGACGTCTATGGGAAGATCTGTGTGTGCTGCTTCGATGTCTGGTGGATTCATTGGAGCCGGCCTATTCAGGAGTTCCTCGAAGTATTCTACCCATCTGTTCCGATGTTGTTGAATTTCAGTGATTGGCTTGCCTTCTTTGTCCTTGACCGGTCTCTCTGGTTTACTGTATTTCCCTGCTAGTTTCTTCGTTGTATCGCAAAGTTGTTTCATATTTCCTTCTTTTCCAGCTTTTTCCACCGTCGTTGCTAGTTCGTGCACGTATTTCTTCTTGTCGGTTCTAATGCTTTTCTTCACTTGCCTGTTTGCTTCTATGTATTCAGCTTGTGCTTGGACTTTCTCTGTTCGTGTTCGGTTGTTGTTAATTGCTGTCTTTTTGTTCTTCCTTTCTTTGATCTTGTCTAGTGTTTCTGTAGAGATCCGTTCCGTATGATAGTGCTTCTTTTAATCCAGAACCTCTTGACACGTTGAAGTCAATGCTTCTTTGATACTTTTCCAGTTGTCCTCCATAGTACTTTCTTCTCCCTTCAGTAGATCCCGTAAGGCTTGGAACCTGTTGTTGAGAGCTATCTTGAATTCGTTGTTTTTTTAGTATCTCGAAGGAAGGCAGTATTGAACCTTTGTAGTGCTGTTTGTCCAGTTTTTCTTTAGCTTCAGTTTTAACGTGGCCACAACTAGGTGGTGATCTGAAGCTATGTCAGCACCTCTCCTGGTTCTCACATCTTCGATTGTCCTTCGGAATTTTTTATTGATGCAAATATGATCTATCTGGTTCTCTGTGGTGTGGTCCCGTGGGATCCATGTAGCTTCGTGTATACGTTTGTGTGGAAATATTGTTCTACCTATGACCAATTTGTTGAGTGCACACAGATTTGCAAATCTTTCCCCATTTTCGTTTCTCTCTCCCAGTCCATTTCGTCCCATGATATCTTCATATCCAGTGTTGTCTATTCCGACTTTGTCATTTAGATCTCCCATCAGAATAGTTAGGTCCTTCCTTGGGCATTTCTCAATGATTGACTGTAGCCGCTCATAGAACTGATCTTTGATGTCGTCGTTGCTATCATTGGTGGGTGCATAACATTGGATAATATTCATTGTGATCCCCTCCTTCTTTGTTTTGAATGATGCTTTGATGATTCTGGATCCGTGAGATTCCCATCCTACAAGTGCATTTCGTGCTACTTTGGACAGCATTAGAGCGACTCCCGACGCAGTTGGGTGCTTCCCTCAATGTGTGTCCTATTCACTTCCAACACTTCTTCCTGATTTCTTCCTCCACTGGGATCTGGTTTGTTCTCTCCCACAGTACGTTGTTGCTAATAGTGTCCGGCCAATGGATCTGAAGTATTTTGCGTAGATAACTGTTAATAAACACCTGTATTTTCTGGATGATGGCTTTTGTAGTTCTCCAGGTTTCTGTCCCATACAGTAGAACTGTCTTGACATTTGTATTGAAAATCCTGACCTTGGTGTTGGTTGACAGTTGCTTTGAGTTCCAGATGTTCCTCAGTTGTAAATATGCTGCTCTTGCTTTGCCCATCCGCGCCTTCACATCTGCATCAGATCCACCCTGTTCATCAATGATGCTGCCTAAATATGTAAAGGTTTTTACATCTTCCAAATCTTCTCCGTCAATTTTGATTGGATTGGTGCATTCTGTGTTGTATCGGAGAATCCTGCTTTTCCCTTTGTGTGTATTGAGACCTATTGCTGCTGAGGCTGCTGCCACACTGTTTGTCTTCTCCTGCATCTGTTGTTGCGTTTGGGATAGAAGGGCCAGATCGTCTGCGAAGTCTAGATCACCCAACTGCATCTTAGATGTCCATTGTATCCCGCGCTTTCCTTCAGACGTTGACGTCTTCATGATCCAGTCGATCACCAGGAGAAAGAGAAAGGGTGAGAGTAAGCAACCTTGCCTAACACCGGTCTTCAGTTCGAATGACTTTGTCAACTCTCCTCCATGCACGATTTTGCAGTGTAATCCATCATATGAGTTCTGTATGATATTGACTATCTTCTGAGGCACGCCGTAGTGTCGAAAAAGTTTCCATAGTGTTGTTCTGTCCACGCTATCAAATGCTTTTTCGTAGTCAATGAAGTTGATGTAGAGTGATGAATCCCATTCAATTGATTGTTCCACAATGATCCGTAGAGTTGCGATTTGGTCTGTACACGATCTATCCTTACGGAATCCTGCCTGTTGGTCACGAAGTTGGGCGTCTACGCAGTCCTTCATCCTGTTTAACAGTACCCTGTTGAAGACTTTTCCCGGTATTGAGAGAAGAGTGATGCCCCTGTAGTTATCACACTTGCTGAGATCGCCTTTCTTCGGTATTTTGATCAGGAGTCCTTCTTTCCAGTCTTTTGGTACTTGTTCCTCATCCCAAATCTGATTGAAGAGAATGTGGAGTATCCTTGCAGTTGCCGCTACGTCTGCTTTTAGTGCCTCTGCTAGAATGTTGTTTCGTCCCACTGCTTTGGAACTCTTGATTTGTCTGATGGCCATGCTGATCTCTTCAATTGTAGGTGGTCCAAAATTGATTAGGAGGTCCGTGGGTGCTGCTTCGATGTTGGGTGGGTTCAGTGGAGCTAGTCGATTCAAGAGTTCTTTGAAGTGTTCCACCCACCTGTTTTGTTGCTCTTCAATGTTGGTGATTACCTCGCCTTCCTTGCTTTTCACTGGTCGTTCTGGTTTGCGGCGATTTCGAGAGAGTTTCTTTGTCGTGTCATACAATTGTCTCATGTTTCCTTCTCTTGCAGCCTTTTCCGCCGTCGTTGCTAAATCTTCCACATATTTACGTTTGTCAGTTCTGATGCTCCTCTTCACTTGCTTGTTTACTTCTGTGTATTCAGCTTGTGCCTTGGCTTTTTCCGCTCTTGTTCGACTGGTATTGATTGCCGCCTTCTTGTTCCTCCTTTCTTGAATCTTATCCAGTGTATCAACAGTGATCCATTCCTTGTGGTGGTGCTTCTCGTGACCCAGGACCTCGTGACATGTTGAAGTGATTGCCTCCTTGATCCCTTTCCAGTTACTCTCCACAGCAGTTCCTTCTCCATTGAGTAGATCATGAAACGCCTGGAACTTGTTGCTGAGGACTATCTTGAATTCGTTGAGTTTGTTAGTATCCTGAAGAAAGGCCGTATTGAACTTTTGTGATATCGTCCGCCCCATTGTCCAGTGCTTCTTGAATTTCAATTTCATCTTGGCGACCAGCAAGTGATGATCTGATGCTATATCAGCTCCTCTCTTGGTTCTCACGTCCTCTATAGTCCTCCTGAACGTTTTGTTGATGGAAGTATGGTCGATTTGGTTTTGCGTGGTGTGATCCGGTAAAGTCCATGTGGTTTTGTGTATGCGTTTATGTGGGAATATGGTGCCGCCTATGACCAGTTTATTGAAGGCACATAGGTTTGAAAATCTCTCACCATTTTCGTTCCTTTCTACCAATCCGTGTCGTCCCATGATGTCTTCATATCCAGTGTTATCCGTTCCAACCTTGGCATTGAAATCTCCCATCAGAATGGTCAAGTCCTTTGTTGGGCACTTCTCGACGATTGACTGCAGCCTATTGTAGAATTGATCTTTAGCGTCTTCATTGTAGTCGTTGGTAGGCGCATAGCATTGGATGATGTTCATTGAAATGTCCTCTTTATTTGTTTTGAAGGAGGCTTTGATGATCCTTGGTCCATGAGATTCCCATCCTATAAGCGCATTTTGCGCTTGTTTGGACAGCATCAATGCAACTCCTTGTGTATGTGGTGCATTTTCTTCTTCATGGCCGGAGTATAACAGGAGCTCTCCTGTAGTTAGTCGTTGTTGTCCAACTTGTGTCCAATGTGTTTCACTGATCCCAAGTACCTCTAGGTTGTATCTTCTCATTTCTGCAGCAATTTGGAAGGCTCTCCCGGTGTCCTACATTGTACGAACATTCCATGTACCTGAATAAATGGTTGCTCTGGTTGTCAGAAGGGGCATCGCCCTCGTAACTTCCGAAGGAATTCGGCTTTCATCATGAGGCGTCATAGTTCTTCTAAATGAAGACCTTCTGATTCCCAGGGCAGAGTTTAAAAGGTTTGAATAATTTTTTCTGGTTAGCGTTTTTTTAGCGAGTTGGTTTTCTACGGGATAGGGACGCTAAACCCCATGCCCCACCCTCTTCCTTTATCCGGGCTTGGGACCGGCAGTAGCCATCGGAGGGACTTCAGGCGGAGTTAGTTGATCTACAATGGACTCTATATATTATTCCACAACCAGTTCTTCAAAGAGTTAGAATTCTCCGCTCTTTTTGTCTACAGTTGATGAATTTGTTTGGTTTACCGTTGAAAATGGACGTATCCTTTCATTTGTGACTGTTCGATTTCTATACATAGTTGATTAAATCTTGTATATAAGGCTTATATTTACCGTGTTTTTCATCAGTTCCAAGTTATGACTTGTTTTTGACTACTAACGTGATGTTTTTATATTTATCACTTATTTAGGAGTTTATGTTATATCGTAAACATGCTTATCTACGATTAGATGGTTCATCACGTTTATCCGATCGTAGAGATATGGTTGCTCAGTGGCAGACTAATCCGCGTTGGTTTGTATTCTTACTGTCAACTCGTGCTGGTGGCCTTGGTATTAATTTAACTGCAGCTGATACAGTTATATTTTATGATTCTGACTGGAATCCAACTGTAGATCAACAAGCAATGGATCGTGCACATCGTCTAGGTCAAACAAAGCCTGTATGTTTCTTTTATACTTTTATATCTTTACGCTCGTAGTTTTTTTACTATTTTAAACGGACTGAATATTTTTTAGAAAGTGCGTCGAAAGATCAATATCTAACTTAAAGAAAACTACTTCATGTAGATCACTATCACAATATTTAAATGATGAAGATCATTTACAGCTCAGATATATGTTTTACTGTTGTAAAAATCTCTAAGCTAGATGGTTTAATTGGGTAACTTGCACTGTTGTTCTAGATAACGTCATCAGCGCTTGCTTTATTAAGAAGTGAACATTTAAGTTATTCCGTGAGTCTTAAATCAATTTTTTCTAGTGGCCTTGATTGTAATTGGTTATCCTTATAGGTGACATTGTCTTCAATTATTCTTGTATTCGAGTTGACTACTTTGTTCTGTGACGATTCATCGAGACAAAAAACACTGTGTGAAAGATGAAATTATTGAGGACTAAATTAAGTCTTGGATTCCCTTCATGTAGAAATTCCAGTGTCGATTAACGGGAACCAAGGTTTTTTTTAAATGAATGTAGTTAACGACAGAAAACTAGATATCATAGAATATTGGCCTAAGCAAGCTAGAAATTTCTCAGAACCATTTTACCAACTGATTAACTATTGAGAGATTTGATATACTAAAGAAATCCATCTTAATTTGTTATGTGACATGTTGACCTAATTTAATACTAACAAATGCTTAGTAAAAGGTGTCTAAAATCAACCAATGGATCTTCGTTTCTCTTCATTGTATCAAATCAGTTAAGGATAACAATTGAAATGTTGAACCATCATTATTTCTCATCTGGTCCTCTATAGCATCACCAAATATAAAAAAGTGTTATCAGTGTTCATTCATTTATTACTTATAATTTTATATTCCAGGTTACAGTTTATAGGCTTATTTGTAAAAATACAGTCGAAGGTCGTATGTTGCGTCGTGCAGAAGAGAAACGTGCCATGCAACAAATGGTAATCCAATCAGGTCAAGGAGGATTAAACAATTTATTGTCAAATGTAACAAATTCGTCAAGTCCCACAGAACATATGACTTCGTCTGATATGGTTTCTTTGTTACTTGATGATGATGAGTTGGTAAAACGGTGAGTTAGTTCATTGTTGGCTGCTAGTTGCGCCTTGATACAGTTCTAAATACTCACGTTTTTGCTAATTATTCACCTAGACAAATTTCATATCTCTCAATGTTCATGTTAAATACGAAAAACCACCATAGGGACATAACACCCATTGTGTTCCAGCTATATTTGATAATTCATTGACTTAAGCTACACAAATTCAGGATCATCCATACAACCGTGATGAACTAGCAGACGGTAATTTAACATAAATTCCCTGGTCATTGCGTTATGTCTTGTAAACTGATTGTATGTTGTCAAGGCATATATAGGGGTAATAGAGATACTAGTATGAAAGGTATCCTATGCAAATAAACCTTTGGTGCCATAGTGACACAATATCCTCGCAATTGACGTTATTTTTCCCGCCAAGCCTTATTACCTTCTAAGATATGATTACGCATAACCTATTAATGATACATGGTCACTTATTAAGATTATTTGACAGAAAATGTTTTGTCTCTATAGCTTTGCCATATCTCATTTATCTATTTGAAATAAATGATCATTTCCCTTATTTTTGACCACTTTCATATTACGATATTAATTAATGTTAATGTATTTTTCTGATTTAGACTTCAGATACGTAGACGGTTACAACCTCAACGTGGTCGTCCAGCTAAGAATCAGGCATCCAAAAGACTAATAGCCTCTGAAACTGTAAGTAATTTTTCAAATGCAGACGCTGAGGCACATGTAACTGGACAACCATCATCAAGTGGTTTCAATTCCACAAAATCAATTTCGCATCCCCAGGGCGTACCAGATATCAGTACTGTTGATGAAGATTTGCTTGAACGAAAACGTCAAGCGGCTTGGGCTGAACAAGTAAGCCTCAATCACAATTGTTTCTTCAATAAGTTTTGTGTTTAATGTTATGAGGTAGATACCGTCCAAGTGCCAGTTCCCTCCAGTGTTCTTGGGCAATCAGATAGTAAACTGACTGATTTTCGCTGCTTTCCCAGTATTTCTCATTGTCCTCGATTAATTAATTTTTATGACAGAAGTAGGAATGTGAAAGTTCCATCTTTTTTTTTAGCTTAAAATCACACATTTTGTAGTCCAAATTAAAACGCCAAGTTAGTACAAGAAACCGCCTAATGATGCCCAGTTATTTAGAATACTTGTATAGATGCTCTCCTGTTAGCAGGAATATTCTAAAATGAAATAACTGTTGGTCCCTACTATAAAATATAACAACTTATTTCGCTCTATGTATTTTTTCAGCCTCGTGGGGGCCGCACTAAAAAGATCCGCCCAATGGAATCAATCGGGCCGGCGACCATTTCCTCAATTGACACCTCTGTAACAAATTGTGATAATGATAATAATTCTAATAGTAGTAGTATTAGTAACAACACGACATAAATGCTGATTGGAATAGGGATTATTTTGTCATTATCCTTGTTATATTCTTTTGTCGCCATTGATATCTTGTCAAAAATTCTTCTTGGTTTTATTATTACCACAAACCAGATGATTTTGTAATGCATTTCCATAATTTTCTGAGCAAATAAATGTATATAAACAAAACGTACCGCTTAAATTGGTGTATTTTTTTTATTGACAATTCGATGTTTTGTATTACAAAAATAAAAAGGAACTTATGAGTACAGCATATTAAGTACCCTATATTTTCTTCGTGTACCTTCAGCCTATTACCGACTTTTTCAAAATGGAAATTTTAAAGTGATACCGTCAATATATGCTATAAATTTTACTGTCTCTTTAATATGTACATTTAGATAACATGACTATTGGTTTTTCTTTCAGTCTATTTCAAATAAAGAATCATGATAATAATAGAAAATATGAACACTTTTAATTTCTCTGACTTGTAGATTTCTGCTAAATAATGATAGAAAAACAAACTATTTATTTGTCGATAAACATCCATATTTATTAGTGAAACTGGTACAAAAATTGACTAAATAATTATCACAGCCGAATTAATAGAAGTATTGTTAAGAGAAAAACAAAATGCACAAACGATAAAAGCAATACCAGAATGCAGAGAAAACAAATACAAATAATTTAGTAATCATTAGATTGTAATAAAATATTTAATTTGATTTGATCTGGAACACGATTTATAAGAAAATTGCCATCATAACTGATCGATGCAAAATACCATGCATCTACTGGACTCCATTCAGCTGTATATACACTTTCTTCATGTTGTTCCAAACGAGCGATCAAACCATCTTCGTTTCTATATGGAATAAGAAAAAAATAATTTTTGTGTCATCGCTTCGTGTTTCAGATTTTATCTTAAGTAAGTAAATCAACGAAACTACAATCGAGGTAAACTATTATGACATGATACAATGATTCATAACGGTAAAATAATATATCATTGAAAGGGGGATGTTTATGCTAATTAAAAGGTTTCGGTTCATAAGTTAAGTCTTTTCTCTTATCAACTGAATTTAGGTATCTAGTGAGTGATATTTCTCCAATACGGTGGGATCAGCATTTCTAGTCGAGAAAATACGTCGATATAAACTAGCTTTCAGAAAATCTACAGCAATGGAGAGATATTAGTACATTAATCAATAAGGTAGCCCCTAATGTTAACAGGAGCCTACCGAGTTCATGTTTGGATTGCTAACAATAAGCTATGTAACAACATAACGCACCATCTTATGTTATAAATGTTAACTAGGTCATATAAAACTGGTTATAATGTCAAATTAGTGTAGTTATTCCACTTCAGAGTATCATTTACAATTCGAAACGTCACTAAGAACAACACTAGTACTTCACATGTAACTTCATAAAATGGCATCAGTTTTTCGACGTTCTAAACTATACCTTAAAGCTCAGAGTAGACAAGATACATGACTAAGACATACCTCTATTCATTCAAAAGCAATGTAGAATCTGGCATATATATGCATTTATCCAAGTTTCCACAACATATTGAAACAGCGAAGTGGGATTATCAAAACAAACGTCTCAGTGGTAGAAAAGTGATGTGTAGGCGAGAATAACAATGGTTGTCTGCTTAGTCTGACATGTGTCAGATGAGTTATATATTCCCCTATCCTTATAATGTTATTATTGATTGTTCACTGTTGTTGGTTTGTGTCGGGTTTTGGTGTGGAAATATATTTACGTTCTAGTCAGGCTAACCACGTGTTCTTGATCTGAGTTGTGTTGAAGTCTGTAGAATAGGCACAAAGGGAATTTAGTGTAGATATCCGTCTAAGGTAAATTAACGTCCCATACGTGTAAACGTGAAAAACCAACCGTTATAACAAAGAAGTAACAATCATTAGTAGTACTAACAACTAGGTATAAGTAATATGATTCGATAAGAACGAATTCGTGGGACATAAAAGTATAAGTTTTAAGACTAAAGATCTAATGGAAAGTAGAATGGATAAGTCTGCTCTATTGCAACTGACTCTGTGCATTGTCGTTTATCATCTCCAGCATTTGGTTACGATAACCTGGCCAGGTATTCTGGACCTGCCAATAGGGTTCAAGTAAATATTAAATGACTTCATGGACTGATACCATATCCTGGTTAAGCCACCCTTAGCTTTCTTCCATCCAACCCAATCTTACACCAGACATCATTGCTCGTCGAGGTAAAGGGAAGTTAACCATACGTAATAATTTTCCAACTACCCTATACCTAAGACCAGCATCGCTCGCTCGGTAGTTTTAAAATGAACACGAGCAATGCCCCGGTATTGCCGAGAGTGGGGTGGGCCCGCCGTCCCTCTCGAAACGCTCTCACACGGCCACGCGTATACAGACTGCCAGAGAAGTCCTACTCACTGCCTTCTCGTGGCGGGGGTGTTGTTTATGAAAATGAGAGGACGAAAAGTGAATGTACGGCGCTTTAACCGGATCCCAAACCAAATCAATGGTGCACATGGGCTCCAGTATCCTGCGGGAACAAATGACCTATGAACCAATCGTTGGTCATCGGCTGCCATGGAACTGCATCACCTTACGATGCTCCACTGCCTTGTGCGTCAGACCTTTAGGTCGAAGGCTCGGGGTGTAGCCCCCTAAGAAAACCACCTGCTCTGGTCTGGGAACCCGGGCAGTACCACAGCCCACACACAAATAAAATGAGAATGACGATATTTACTGAAAAATCTTATTCACACTTTGATTAAGAGTCAAACAATTCACATTATTATTATTATTTACCACGCCATTTATTCACACTCTGTGTATCCTTATCTTTCGACTTATGCAGCAGCTCGCCTATGGTGGAAATTCGACTGTATCTAAACGTTCTCGAGTCACTGACTGGTTGAAAATTGTATGCTACCACCAATACGAATACTGAATCAGTTTTTCTGAAACCACGTGCACCATTCAAACTGGCTGCCTTCAACGTTCGCACACTTATGCAGGTTGGACAACAGATAGGGCTGGCTATGTCTTTAGAAAGTCTTAATATCGACGTTTGTTGCCTATCCGAGACCTGTATTCAAGACTCTGGTGAAGTACTATAAATTCGCTCTCCATCCGTCACTTCAAAAAGCTTGTTTTATGTGCGCTTATCCGGGGACCCTGTGGCATCTTCGTCTGGTTTTGCTGGCGTTGGTGTCGCACTAAGCGCTAGAGCTGAGGCAGCACTAATCGATTGAATCCCCAATAACAGTCGATTACGTGCTGTTAGATTAGAGAGTTCCAACAAAGTGAAAAGAAATCGGCGTGAGAAATGATATCCTTTCGTCATCTCCGCCTATGCCTCGACAGATTGCAGCCCGGATGCAATCAAGGATGGATGTCACCGCCGGTTAACTGTTCCTCTCCAGAAAGTGCGTACGACAGATAGTGTAGTACTAGCCGGAGACTTGTTGGTCGCAGGATAGATAACGGGGACCGTCTACTGCAACCATGCACAGACCACAACCTGTTTCTGGTCAGCACTAACTACCGGCACAGTCATCGCCGATGTGCCACCTGGCATCCTTTATCTGCACCTCAAGCCTAGACTCAGATTGATCACGTCGCGATCAGCTACCGCTGGCGTGGTTATGTACAAGATTGTCGCCCCTTTTGGAGTACCTATCTGGACTCTGGTCATGCCTTGGTCTGCGCCAATCTTACCTTACTTTTCAGTGGCCAACGAAGTGACCGCCACCAAAGGATTGATGTCAGCAAGTTGGTTGCAACTAAGTATCGAACTGAGCTAGCTTCTAGGCTAGCTACCATTCCACCGAAAAGTATAGATGAGCATTGGTTGCAACTTCATGACGCCATGAAAATGGCGAGTGAAGTCGCTTGCGACTTCGCGAAACGTCCTGCTTATAAGCACTGGATTTCTTCAGGCTCCTTACAACTCATTGAAGCCTGTCGGTCTACTCCAAGTGACCGTGAGTTTGACCACAAACGACCACTGTTACGTAATGAAGTTGAGCAAAGCTCGCGTAAGGACCGAGAAGCCTGGTGGTCAAAGCGTGCTAATGAGCTGGAAGCAGCAGCTGCATCTGGTAATTACCGGAAGCTCTTCCAACTCATCCGAGCCACTGGCAGTAAGAAGTCTGGTGTGAGCGAAACAATCTGTGGGGATGACGGGATGCCAATCACTAACATCCATCGACGTCTTGGACGATGGGCAGAATTCTTCGAAGGGCAGTTCAACTGGCCTGCTGCTCCGGCAACATCGGTCAGACTGTCCTGCCCTCCATGGCCGGTGAAGACTGATCCACCAAATGAGGTGGAAGTCCGCAAGGAACTCCAACTCTTGAAACGCTACAAATCACCTGGCCCAGATGACTTACCTCCGGCTCTTTTTAAAGATGGTGGTGACTTTCTGACTAAGGAATTGACGACGTTGTTTACAAAGGTTTGGGAACTAGAGAGTGTACCAACGTCATGGAATCAGTCGATAGTTGTCCCTATCTCTAAACAGGGTTCACGTCTTTTCTGTAACAACTATCGAGGGATAAGTCTACTTCCGATTACGTCCAAACTGTTGGCTTCCATCATACTTCGTAGGTTGTTCAAAAACCGAGAAAGATTGACTCGTGAGGAGCAGGCTGGTTTTCGTTCTAGTAAACGATGTATTAACCATATCTTCACCCTCCGCCAAATGTTAGAACACCATCATGCTTATCACACACCAACAGTTGCAGCGTTTCTTGACATCAAGGCTGCCTTCGATTCGTTGGATAGGACTGTTCTCTGGGATTGTCTATTGAAGAAGGGTGTGCCTGATGAGTTTATTAACATTTCAAAGGCCCTATATACAAACACCTCAGGCAGAGTGAGGGTATACAACCACCTCTTTCCATTGTTCCATTCGAGCAGTGGGGTTAGGCAGGGTTGCCCAATCTCACCATTCCTCTTCAACTTTGCCATCGATGACATTCTGGGAACAGCTCTGATGGATGTAAGTAATGGCGGTGTGGATCTGTTGCCTGGAGAAAGACTTCTCGACCTTGAGTATGCGGATGATATTTTTTACTGTGCGATAATGCCCAAGCCATGCAATCCGCACTTAATTAGTTGGCAATGAATGTCCGTAGGTATGGTATGTGCTTCGCACCTTCTAAGTGCAAAAGTACTCCTACAAGACTGGTAGGACTCTGATTCAGCACTCACCCTGGGTAGTGAGCAAATAGAAATAGTCGAAAGTTCATGTGTCTGGGTAGCTGCATAAGTGCTGGTGGGGGTGTGAGTGATGAGATCAATGCACGTATAGTGAAAGCCAGAGCGGCTTATGCCAATCTGCGTCATCTTTGGCACCTTCGTGATGTTAGTCTGGCTGTAAAAGGTCGGGTCTACAACGCGTCGGTGAGAGCAGTTCTGCTCTATGCTTGTGAAACCTG